GGGCTATGGCTGAAAGAGCATGAAGTGTTAGAGTTCTTTTTGTTTTTAGGTAGGCAGACATTGTAGCATACTTGTAAGTTGGGAATGATGGAGTACAGGGAGGCAAACTGATTATTACAGAGAGAGAAGGGACCATTGAAAGGGTGAAGTCCTTGAGTTAATGAAAGGGAATGGCATCAAGGACATAAATGGATATGTTGGCCACAGGCTAGATTGGTGCATGGACAATTCACCTGTGGCAATTATATGGACCCAAATGCTGGTACATTGGTAACTTGGTGGTAGGAGAAAGTGAAAGGTCTCTTCTGATTACTACTGTATTCTCAGCTAAATAAGAAGAGAATTCATAAGCTAAAAATGAAGAGTGGAGGAGGTGTTGGCGAGTTTGAGGAGAAATATGTAACGTTCATCAAGAGAGTGGGGGAAAATGAGTTGAATAAGGAAATATTTTAGTATTGCCAGGCAGCACCAAGTACCCATTTGGTGTTTGCTATAAATTTAAGATGAGACTCCGTTGGCATGGTGATATATATTTTTTTTTTCAGCTGTGTTGAGCTGCTTGGAGGTAAGCAGCTCAACTGCCTGGGAGAGAGTAGCTGAGGTAAGACAGAGGACATCATTGGAAGACAGGAGTGAAGGGACTGAGAGGTAAGGATAGTGGAAGGATTATCTCAGTGTGCATACTGAGATTATCTTAAGGTGAGAGTGGTGATAGTAAAAGAGACAATCATCCAGAAGCTAAAATCTTTAGACAGTGTGGAGGACTGAATGACATAGAGGTTTATAGATGTTTGTAGCAAGGATAGTGGGTGGTTATTATTTGATGGCATGAAGAAATCATCCAAAATAAAATTTCTCAAAACCAAAGGATGCTAGTTTCTAGATTAAAAAGATTCTCCAAGAATCCAGCACAATTAATTTTAAAATATCCATGCCAAGGCACAGCATCATAATAAAAATTTTTGCACTGTAAAGACTAAAGAATATCTACAAATCACATGGATAGAATGAGGAATTATAGGATTGTAGCCAGATTGGAAACTAGAAGATAATGGAGCAAGCAGTGCCTTCTGAAAGGCAATGGATTCCCACCCAGAATTCTGTATCTAGACAAACTCTCAGGCAAGTGTGAGGGGAAGGATCAAGACATTTCACACATGCAAGATCTCAAAATTTGACTTTCTATATAGCCTTTATAGAGAAACCAAAGAAGGATGTACTCTAGCAGAACAACCTA